ACCCTGGCAATACACTACACTACACTTACACAACAATCCAATGCACGCCGTGCCCCACACCCTGGCAATACAATGCTCTACACTTACGCTAGCCCCACAACAGTTTTTCCCACGCCCCCAGCAAACACCCGCAGCAAAAAAAAAAATTAATAATAATAATAATAATAATAATAATTTAAAAATAAAACCACACACTTTGCTAAAGGCAACAGTCACACGGGGCAAATGTGACCCAGGACGTGCACACAGGGACGTTATATGCACACAGGGCAGTTACACACCAGAAGCATAATACACACTCCTTGGCTGCACGACAGCAGTAAGCACTATATCAGCTACACAACACCAAAGCATGGCGACACAGTGAGGGAGACTCCAGCTGCAAAGCTCGTGTCTGGGACTGGGGGGAAGAGAGGCCTCAGACAGTGCTGAATCATTAACCAGGGCTGGCCAGCCCGGGAGGCCGCGGAGGCCAAGGGAGGTATCGGCGGCATGGCTTTCCTCCAGTGCTCTTTCCTCTCCCTTCCCTCCAGTCAGCAGTGTGCCTTATGATTTCCTGCTGGTTCCTGCCGACTTACATACAGCATTGATCACAGACCCATGAACTTGGTCGCAAAAAGTCAAATACACAGGTACACACCACCAAATTTACCTAAAGTCGTCCTATATACCTAAAGCATAAAGATGTATCATCTTGCTGGGACACGAAAAAAGTCACACAAATGCAATTCGACAACCATGACACCCATGGGTGTGATTCCAAACCAACTTCCTTCTTTTTTCAGAGTCTGGACCTGTTCTTCCCCCCCCCATTCCTATTCCCCCCACACACACTCCTACTCCTGGGAGGGAGAGGAAGAATTTGAAGGCCCAATAAGGGCAGCTGTTCCCTTATCATGACCTCTTACCCAGCAGCTCACATTGTGTATATGTGTATGTGTGTGGTGGTGTGTGTGTGTGAGGGCAACACCTTCTGATCCTTGGTCAGTTAACTTGTCTGGGTCTGTTTCTTTAACTATAAAATGGGTGACTTCTAAAGTCCCTTCCAACTTCAGATCTATGGCCCTAATTTGCCCAGGGTCATGATCAAATCAATATCTTCTCTGTGCCTTATTTTCATTTTGTAAAATGGTCATAACAGACACATTCCTGCTCTGACCACATTACCAGTTTGAGTTGTATTTGTCATGAGAGTTGAATAAGATTATAAATATGGAAATGCTTAAGCATGTATACACAGGACAGATTACTGTTTCTAATAGTTAATTATCGGTGGCCCTGGAGTTAGGAGGACCTGAGTTCAAATTTGATCTCAGACATCTACTAGATGTGTGACCCTGGGCAAATCACTTAACCTCAATTGCCTCCAAAAAAAAAGGCAAAATAATTATTACTATCAATAAAGAGTTGTACAATTCTTGTACCAAATATCAGGAGACCTGGATTCTAGTCTGAACTTGGCCACTATGCTGTTGTGTGACCTTGAACAAGTCACCCATGCTTGATGGTCCTCAGCTGCTTTCTCTGTAAAATGAAGGAGTTGGACATACATGTTCTCTAAAATTCCTTCCCAGGCAGTGCCACCTGAGGGGACGAGGGATAGGAGAATGGGAGGGTAGAGAGAGAACCTGGGCAGAGATTCCTCCCAGTATGCCTCAGCCCAAACCTCCGGAAATGCCCCGGAGGAAACAGAGACTGAGTGGGGCTTGGAGAGCCAACAGCCGCCCCTTCACTTCCCTTCCCTCCCGCATAGGCTGGGAAACAGCTGTGTGTTGGGGTGGGGGGGTGGGGGTTGTCGAAAGAGAGGTCTGGGCTCTTTCCGCTGCCCTCTCCTCTCCTCCTCCTCCTCCAGTGACGGGGGTGGGGGTGGGGGTGGGGGGTTGAGGCAAAAGCTGGGCCTGGAGGCGCTTAGTAGATCCCTTCTCACAATTTATGGCTCTGCAGGGCCTGCCCTGCCCTCCCCTTTTATCTGGCCAGGCCCAGACCCTATGCATGGAGGATTGACACACAGCCACGCAAAGGGGCAGAGACACCCACCTGGGGACACCAGAGCTGAGACAAACACACAGAAATATTCACAGTGAGGGACACACTGACTGAATTAATTGATTTATTTGCTAAAGATTTTTTTTTCTATTCCCCCCCCCCACACACATACATACACACATACACACACACACTATAATGTGAGATCCTATGTAGCACTGGCCTTTGGCTGGGAGAAATTGGGAGATGAGTAACACACACCAAGACTATGATACGATATAAGCAGTGTGCAGGCCTGGTTCCCACTAGTGGCCCTGAAGATACGTTGCTTGAGCCAACCCCAGAAAAACTGCTTTAGTCTCTAATGAGGAACTGGGGATGTGTTGGAGGAAGTCTATTTTCCAGGTCATTCCCTCCCACCCTCCATCTCCCAACCAAAGCCTGGGATAAGGCGGGGGAGGGGAAGGATTGACTAAGTTATGCATACCTGGTTCTCCAGCTGGCCTGTCCTCTCTTTGCCAGAGATTCAGCAGCACTGGTCAGAAAAGGAGACAGTTTTATTCATGGGATCCCAATTGCTGGGAAACTTATTCCTTCTCCAGGCAGTAGTACGTAGTCGAGGCCTGACTTTGAGTTCCACCTCTAACATTTACTAACTGTGACTTACTCCTCTATCTGTCAAATGGGGAGAATGACATTTGTACTACCTAACACAAGAGTTTTTATTGGTAGCTCCCCCTGGTTTCTCCTCTTGACTATTCAATTTGACAATGAATTCCCTAATTGCCCCATATGTGCCAGGCATCCTCCTAGGCAATGGAGATGCTAAGACAAATATGAAATAGTATCTGCCCTCAAGAAGTTTCCATTTTACTGGAGGACACAAGTACATACCTAGACATACCAAGTATATGCCATATTGCAAGATGAGGCTTCAAATTCATAGGGCCCCAGTTCAGCAGTGGGCATGGGTTTGCACCAAGTCATTCACTACCCAATTTTTTTTATGACTAAGTAGGAGAGTCACAGGGTCCACAGATAAGTAATTTGAGTAGAACATTCACAATTTGGGGTGGGGGTGGAGAAAGAGGCCTCCCATAGAAAATAATGCTTAAGTAAGCCTTAGAGACAGAGGATTTTGAAGAGAATCAGGAAAGAGTATCCAAACTAGGCAGGTGAGTTCAGAGAATCATAGAAAATACATGTAAGAGTATAGGCTTAGAGCTCAAACGGATTTTGGAGGTTATGTAATCTAACCTCATTTTACAGATGAGGAAACTGAGGTAGTGACTTGTCCAAGGTCATACAGGCAGTAAGAATTAGAACCAAGATTCAAACCCAGTTTCTCTGATGCTAAATCTGATGCTCTAGTCTAGTAGTTTAATTTGGCTGAAACATAGAGTATGTGAAAGGCAACAATGGGAAATAAAGTGAGAAAGGTTGGTCAGAGTCAGATTGTGAAGGACTTCAAATGACACATTGAGGGAGTTTTATCCTAGAGGCAATAGGGAGCCACTAAAGGTTTTTGATCAGGGGAGTGATGTGATCAGATATATGCCTTGCCTAGGCTATTTTGGAAGCTATATGGGGAATGTACTGGAGTAGGGAAGAGACTAGAAGCAGGGAGACTTAATTAGGAGGCTGTTGTAGTAGTCCAGGCAAGAGGTGATGAGGACCTAAACTCCTATAGCCTCACATATTCTGGGTCACTAACATTCTATCTTACACACTCCCACCATCACAAGCTCTTCCCTGCAATCCTGGTGGCTCTGCCCCAACATCCTGCCGGCATTTCCAAGTTTCCCTCGGCCCTGACCCTGACCCCCAGGAGGGAAGGCCTCCTCCTCTTCCCTCCCACCCTCTGGCACACACATTCCAAGCTATCCTCTATCTGATAATTCACGGTGGGGGAAGGAAGATGCTGCTTGGAAAGGAGAGTAGGTGACCTTTGCTGCTAGAAGCTTCCTTCTGGGGGGGGAGAACCTCTATTTCCCCCCTGCCCCCTTACTTCTGGGCTCTGAGAGGGACCAAAACTCCCATAGATCTTTCTTTGGCCTGGGGGAAAGGGATAAAATGTCACTTCCCGGGGCCATCTAATAGGAGCAGGAGCTTGGGAGAGAGACCCAGTGCATGAGCCTTGGCAGATATCAGCAAGACCTCTTCCCCATCACCTCCTGCTGCTCCAAATGGAGACTAAAAGTGCCAGAGCTGAGGACTAGAAATGACTGAAAGGAGGATATATTTTTGCATGTTATTTTGCATCTCATTTGCATGGAGTTCTGCTCACATCCCCACATGCCACTGTGCTCTTCCCTTCCCCCCAATTCCCCACCATCCTCTTCTCTCCTGGCCCCTGACCCCCACCCCAATAAGGCCCTTGGGATCAGTAGGCCTCCACAGGGTCAGTGCTGAGGTTCTGAGATCCTGGATTCTCCCCTTGGCTGAGACCAGCCTTTAGGCCTGTCTATGAGAGATGGGTAGAGTCAGGGAATTATAACATTAAATTCCATTTTAGGGATACCCAAGAGCTCCCCCAACCATGAGCTGTGCTGCTGTGTTCTCTGACTCTTAGTTGTATTTAAGGATCAACATGGAGGAGGACAAAGGTTGGAGAAGGGGGAAAGCCATCACAGGGCTGACTGGAGGCTGTGCCCTCATAAAAAGAAGAAATAACTGGGAATGCCTCTGAATGGGCTGTCTCACTCCACCATCATTCATCTCTCTCTCCCCCGGACTCTAGATGGAGTAGGGATTATCTTGGTAGGGATTCTAAGAATGTCCTGGTTTTTCCACTGACTTGCCTCTGTGATTTCTGGCAAATCATTTCTCTCTGGGCCTGTCTCCTCATCTGTAAAATTAACGAGAGACTCTCTAAGGCCCAGCCCATCTCTGAAATCCGGTGATTCTGAAATCGATTTTAAGTATTATTAAGCATCTACTATACATAAATCCTTGTGCTAGACACTGGGAATAGAAAGGCTCAAAAATGAAATGGTCCCAACCCTCAGGAAGCTTCCATTTTATTGAGGTGATAGAACATGTACACACATAAGTAAATACAAAGTAATTTGAGAAAGGAGAAAGCACTAACAGCTGGTGAGGATCACAAATGGCTTCTATGGGAAAGGGCTTGTGAGCTGAGAAACAAAGGATGGTCTGATACTTCTGATATGAAGTGGCATACTTCAGGTAAATGCATGGAGGTGAAAGATGGAAAATTTTGTTTACCAGGTAGTTAGCAATTCAGTTTGTCTGGAAGTGTGTGAAGGGAAGCAATGTGAAATTAGGCTGACTAGGGGAAGAGGGGGGTTAAGCTGGATTGTGGAGGGCTTTAAGTGAAGGGCTGAGAAGTTTGTAATTTTTAAGGTAATAGGGAGGCTCTGAAGGTTTTTGTGCAAAGCAGTAAGCTGGCCAGGTCTATGTTTTAGGAAGCTTATTTTGACAACTATGTGGAAAATCACAGCGTTAAAAAGATTTAGATCTTGAAGGGGCCTTGGAGGATGAATTGGACAAGGAAATACTGGAGGTTGAGAGACAAAATAGAAGGCTTTAACAGTGGTCCAGGTGAGAGGTGATAAGGCCCTGAACTAGTGTAATGGCTATGTGGATGGCAAGGAAGGGATAGATGCAAGAGACAGGAAGGAATCAACAGGACATCTCGTTGGGAACGTCTGTCTCTGTCTGCCTGTCCCTACTCAATTCCCCTTAACCAGAAGTTCCCAACAACCATCTTTCTGGCTTCAGTCAAAGGCCAACATCTTTTCCTCCCTATTTCTCCAGGGATCAGACAACAGCTCTTCCTGCTCTTGCTCTGAGATCGACCTCCACATATTCAAAGGTCCTCATTCAGTCCAGTGCTATTCCTGCTTGGTCCACCCCCTCCTTCCTTAATCACACCCCAGTACCACCATCTTGACTCTGCTCTTCCCTTCACTCTACGGCTCCCTGAGATCTAGGGTAGAATCAAATCTAGATCGAGCACCCTAGGTTCCTTTCTCTCACTGACTTCAATTAGTTAATATACATTTATTAATCACCTGCTACATGCTATGTTATGTGGCAGGCACTGTGCTAGATATTGGCATATAAAAACAAAAATGAAATAATCATCTCCTAAGGAGTTTATAGTCTAGCCAGGAAGTCAATATTTATATATACGTATGCATAGATACGCATACACATACATACAAAACAAAGTGATTCTGGAAGGCACCAGCAGCTGGTTGGGTCAGAAAATGCTCTTTGGCTGATCAGGGTAATTTCAGGCTGGGTCTTTGGTAGCTGTGGTTTGAGTTGTATTATTTTCTATCCCCTCCTCCCCCACGGGATTGAAGGGAATAGGAAATATTGAGGAGGGGGTGATTTGGATAATCACTGTTCCCAGGGCCTGGGGGTGGGGTACTGTGGAAGTAAAGGCAGAGGATGGCAGGCTCCTCAAATCTGGAAACATTTGCATAACCCAGATGGTGAGCCCTGGAATTTCAAAGAATTCCCCCTGGGAAGAGGCAGCTGTCTTTCTAGCCCTGCTGGCCTACAGCTGCTGAGCCTGAGAACTGGCTGAAGTGGGAGTGCCCCAGGAGCATCCTATCCCTCAATGAACTCAGGTGGGAGCTCCTAGGTCCTGTATGGCTATTTAGACCACAGACTTTCCTTCTCTCTAGACCATCAGATTGAAAATGTACCTTACCCATTCCCCAGGAAATTCTATGGGGGTGGGAGGAAGGTTCATTACATCTGGAAACAAGAGCCCAGGGTCTAGGTAAGAGTGACCTTATCTCAACCAAAAGGAGGCACTCGTTTACCTAGGAACATGAGATGAAGACCCACTGGACTATGTACCCAGGATGCTAGAGATTGGATTCCGGTTGCCCACAGGAATCCTTGTCAATGGGTTCAAGTCAGTCAAGTATGGGGGGTGTGGAGGGGAATCTGGGGGTCCTAATAAGGTGTTAGAACGGACCACCTAGATCCTAAGGAACTTGAGAACCTGAGAGGTCAGCTCCTTCCCCTCACTCCAGATGAAGTCAGTAGCATCGAAGTTCCTTTTTTATTAGAGAAATATATTATTCCTGAAGCCCAAAGCATTCTGGCTATGATGCCTGGCTGCAGAGTAGGGGGGTGATAAAGCTGAACAGTCCCTTTCATCCCTTAGGCCCTGAAAAGGGAAAAGAAAACAAGGGGAGGTCCAACAGCGCAAGAAAGGAGAAACTGGAAGTGGGGACTAAAGGAAGAAGAAACTCCCAAAGGTCAGACTCTTGAGATAAGGGAGTATATCAGGAAAGAAAACAGAAAGCAATGGTGCTAGGCAAGTTAAAAAAAATTGGGGGGGGCAGGGTTTCTTTGTGTAATGTTGAATAGGGCTGGATAACTGAAATGTTTCCCTTCCAAATCACCCCATGGGAACTGGGAACCCCTAAAAGACTCTTCTATTTGGGGTGGGGGCTAGTACATAGCACTGACCCTGGCTTCTTCGGAGACCAGTCCTGTTACCATCTCCCTTACTCACAAACGCCTCCTGTGTTTCTCCCCCCACAATGATTAGGTGCATCAGGGTTATGAGAAACTTTGCCTTTATCTAAACTGCCCTTATACTAAATTTATTAAGGCTGACTCGACCTCATTTCTTGATGACTGCACTGGCAGGCGCCAACCAGTACAGGGGCCTTGGACTTTCCCAGTTAGGTGATCACTGTAGGTAATTCTACCTGGGACCCCTAACAGGGACCGAGGTAATCAGCTCCAGTCTAGCACCTTGATTCCCTACCCCTCGGACTGCAGTGCTAAGGAAGCCAGCAGTGTGAAGTCCCCAGCCTTGCTTTGCCCCTCGCCTCTTTGACCACCAGGCTAGGTCTGGCCAATGCTGTGGGTAACCACTGCCCTCTGCTGGCTAGACAAGCACTGGCACTCATTCAGGCCTAAGGGCAACCACCACCGCTTTCTCCACTGATTTCAATTCAGTCTCAGCACTACCCAAATTTGTGCCTAGACTTCATTCCTTGGGAGACCGCAATCTGTCTCAACTATCGATATGGAATGAAAAAGCCGCCTCAAGCCTCTGAACCCTCACCCCAAAAATCTGGTCCTTTAGGCCCCAGACCTTCATAGATAAGAAAAGTAAAACAGAGAGAATGGTTTTGCGGAGAATTGGACGGTGTAGAACAACTCTTCTCTGAGGGGGCCTGCGGAAAGTAAGTAGTAACTACACTATAGACACCTGTTTCAATACTGGCAAGACCCCTAAGAAGCCAGCCCAGGGCCCTGTCCCTTATGAAAGGAATAAGGGAGAAAGTTCCCAGAAATCTTGGCAGAGGGAGTAGGGAGGGGGGTAAGGCTGATGACTTCGGTACTTTGATTCTAGATCTGTTCTTTTTTCATTTACAAGGCAAGAAGGGTCTCAAGTGTGAGGGTGAACTGTTGTTTGGTTATCAAGTGGGTAATTCCACTGACCCCCAATCTAAATGGGGTTTCTATATCCATACACCAAGATGTCAGCCCAAGCTGGAAGGCCTTGAATTGCTTCTCTTCTGTAATGTCACGTCAGGTACCCGGGAAAGGGGCATTTATTGCCCAGTCCATCGCCACAGAGCCTCTCTCTCTCTCTCTCTGGGAGTCCATTAACATTAATACTTTCTCACCCACAAAACAAAACCTCAAGCTTACTTAGGAGGCATTTTGGCACAAATCACTCTTCTGACCTCTATAAGGAGACATATGTGGAAAAAACTACTAATGGGGTAAATATCTTTTTTCCCACCCATCATTCTGGCTAATCTGCCCTGTCCAGATAGTCTCACATTACAGAAGCAAGCAGAGATACCGTTACAAAAGCTGTTTCTAATGACTATGGGCAGGAAACCACTATTTAGGGGGCACTTCCATTTTGGTCTGAGCACCTATTCATGGAGGTGATTTTTTTTTTACTTTCTACAGCAGCCACCTGAGGGTGGCACACATCCTTCTACTCTTGCATGGAGATCTCTCCTACTAACAATCTGACTTGTCATCTTTGAACAGAGTATAGCCAGAATTTGAAGAAAACCTAGAACCTAGATAGTTTCTTTGTCAAGACTGAGTGATCACTCCCTACCAATATAGAACACTCTCAGATAACCTTCTTTGCCAATCAAGGACCACCCTTAACCACTGCCCTTACAAAAACAGAACACCCTAGCTCTTCCCTCCCCTGCCCAATAACAGCATTAGTCCTGGATACTGGTAGCTATGCTGAGAAGCAACACTACAAATCAGACAAATCTGTTTTAAGTTACTAGGCTGTGAATTTCAAGAATGCCTATACTTACAGTATCATACAGAATGTGAACCTGCCTCATCTCCCCTCTAGAGTACAAATTCATGGGTTCTTCTCTATCATCCCACAACAAGCAAGAATTGGACCAAATCTAGTCCAAGTAAGCCAAACTGGTGTGCTTCAAATTTAACTCTGGATAACTCTCTGGGCAGACACACAAGTGCTTGAAGCCTAGCTGACTTTTCCCAATCATTTTCTCTGGAGGCCCAGGACCTGAAACAATACATGCAAAGTATTTTTAAAATTCCACCTGAAATTTTTAAATTGGCAAAGTTCAAATCTGAACGGCCTTAAGACCTTCAGAATGGTGTTGCTGAAACCACCAAGAGCCTTCAGGGTTGGTCCATGGATTAAAGACCATTCAGTCTGGGGCTCAAACAAATTGCTCACCTTTTCCTTAAAGGTAGGTTGGGTATGTCATCACCAATAAGTTCTGTTAACCTCTGTTATCTGGAGATTACTGGGCATAGGCTATCAGTCAGAAACCTGTTTCTTGCTACTTTTTTTTTTATTTTCAGTCAATTTGGGTTAAGTGACTTGCCCAGGGTCACACAGCTAGTTAAGTATCAAGTGGTCTGTGGCTGGATTTGAACTCAGGTCCTCCTGACTTCAGGGCCAGTGCTTTATCCACTTCGCCAGCTAGCTGCCCCTCCTTGCTATTTTTTTTTTTTTTGGCTAGGCAATGGGGTTAAGTGACTTGCCCAGAGTCACAAAGCTAGTATTGTGTCTGAGGCCACATCTGAACTCATGTCCTCCTGAATCCAGGGCCAGTGCTCTATCCACTGTGCCACCTAGCTACCCACCCTCCTTGCTATTTTAAAGAGCAACTTTGGCACCAAGTTCTCACTGGGTTCTCTTTCAAAGACAAACAGTTCTTTTTGGTTCCTTTTTCAACGAGGTTAGAGCACTCCCTAGACTGCTGCATAAAAACATGTAGATGATGGGTCAGGCTTAGGAAGGACCCATTGTACCCTTCCTTCAGAAGTTAAACCAAGTCCTTCCATTTCATGGACATCCAAAACACATGATAGGCCCATTAAGATCCTATCTGGAGGACAGAGATTTCAGAGGAGCCAAGTTGTTTAGATTTTAGCCTGCTGAAGAATTGAATACACTTAAACTAAGCAAAGACCTTGATAAAAATCATCCAGATTATGAAAAATGTCAACAACATGAAGAGTAAAGAGTCAGAAGCTTGGTTCCAAAACGCAGGATCTTGGGCAAGTCTTTCAACTCATCTTTAAAACTGGACTCTTAACTAAAACGCTCTAATTTGGCCTTAACAGCTGGCGGTTATTAGAATGAGACAAGGTATCTACAGTAGAAGGCACTCTGAAGTACTGCAAAATTGCAAGGTAAAAAGATGAAAAAAAAATCACTACAACTTAGCGTTGTTTTGTTTTTTGTTGGTCTCTACCAGTCCAAGGCTACTGTGAAACTCTGTTACAGATTTGGTCACTTAATTCCAGATAAATTGACTAGTTTGAGTCCCATTAACTAACATTTCACCAAGTGGAGTTCATGCAACAACATTCATTCTCTTGGGTTCAGATCATTGCCTAAACTACCATAGTGGTGAAGATGTAGCAATATGTTGATGGTAAAAATGAAGCCTAAAGTTCTTCAAATTTGGTAAAGGGCAGATCCATGAGGAATATCCCTTCCTTGAGTGATCCTGGCTCCAGCTTTCATGCCTCTAGCCACATTCCAGCAGTAATATGCATGTGGTTACACTAAACTCAATGACTATTATAATATTTAAACCTTCAAATGAAGGGAGACCTAACTTTACAACCGGACAAACCTCATTTGTATCATGGATCACACTCATTTACGTTGGTGTCCATTACAAAGCAGTTCACTACACAGAAATAAACCAGCTATACACTTGTTGCAAGAAGCCAGCCTCCTCACTTGGAAATCAGCCCAAGAGACTTGTCAAGTCAGTAGTACAGACTCCAACCATTCAATTATAAAACTTTTCAGGTCTTCCTTCTCTCTTGCAGGCATTATCCTATCTAACGGCTATCTTTCCCTTAATGTCAGGAAGCACTATGGCTGGTTGGTTGTTTTTTTTTTTTTTGGTCAAAAGGGCAAATCACAAATAAAAATGGGATAAAATACATGCCTAGAATTTCAAAAATGCTTATAGTTTATCTGAATAATGGGGAAGAAAGCAATGGGGTAGACTTCCCAAATCTCAAGTACTTCTTTTATATGGAAGATGCAGCAGGTTAGTATTTACCAAGGGTATCATTATCTTAATTCAAGACAAAGTTTTCAACACACTAAATATAGTTATAGGCAAATAATCTGCATGGCAATTAAGTAATACTTAAGGTACTCCAGTCTTAATAAGCAGCAGTTAAGATGGTCCTCAACTCCCCACTGCTATTAAAATGCTAAGGGGGAAAAAAAAGATACTTTTAAATTTTGGACAGCAAAAATACATTTATTTGTATGCCATCTTGGATTCAGGAAACACACTTTCCCTTAGTATCAAGCCAACTGTCAGAGTAAAGTAGAGGGGGGGGTGAGGTGCCTGAAAAATAGAATCAGTTGAAGCTTTCTTCATGTAGTTCTATGTCAGGGATTCTAATTCATTCTATTCCTTTCACTCCTTTAAAATCTCTTAAGGTACTTCCTTTTGTCTTGAGGAAACCACTTAGAGTATAGAAATTGGCAAGTTAATGTCACTTTGCTGTAGTCCTATACAAAGTATAATGTTATAAAATCATATTAGCAAATGAAAAGTAGTAATTCTGTACACGGAACTGTATTGGCTACAATTTAACACCTGTATATACCCAAACCACTATAAGAGGAAAGGGCATAGAATCATATCTAGGCTTTTCTGCAGGTCTCTTTCAAATAGCTACAGCGATACTCCTGGTATGTTCGCATGTAAACAGCTTAATCATCTACAGGCAATTTTTGATTTTGAGCTCTGTGTGACATCATCTCTTTTGCTTAATTGCTTTGTAAAGACGGAGTCATCTTTCAGCTGTTCAGTGATCAAGAACATGCATCCCCCCCCCAAAAGGTAAAAACGCATTCCGCCTCAAACACAAATGTTTGAGATTATCCAAAGTTTATTGTACCCTTTCGTTAAGGACTTCTAAGACAAGCTAGTATCAGACTTTATCTAATGCTTAAAAATAATTGTGAGACTCTACCTAGTGAGAGGATCTAAAAACTACTATTTTTGGTAGACAAGATAAGACACTCAGTAATAGAGATAAAAGTCTGCTCAAATTAAGTTGAATTTCAGGGGAAAAGTAGCAACTATACATCTATGGCAGCAATGGAAGGCCTCATCTTTATTTCTCCATAGTACTGTGGTTAGAGTAATTCAAGTTAGAGATAGTGCTCAAGCATAACTAGTTCGAAGCTCAGCATCACTTTTTTTTCTTCCCCAAAACCTTCCTCCTTTCATGGAGAGTGGTTATGAAGGAAAAAACCTCCTCTTAGACAAAGCAGGATGTGGAAAATACTAAATGACAAAAATATCAGAAAGAATGCACGAAAACAAGCCTTGGCTCAAAGTTGCATGACCAATGAGGCACTAAGAGATAAGACAAGTTAAACAAATTTAAACCAAAAGCAGTGGACATTTATTCCTCAGTTTTTTGTGCAAGAGTGTAGAGACGCATTTGGAAAATGGATGGGACAGAACCTCAGATCTAAAGGTGCTGCTCTGTGGTGACCTGGTTTACAATTAAATCCAGAGAAGAAAAACTTGTAACTCACCTAGTTCATGGAATATTTCTGGCAAAGACACTGGTTTACAAGTAAAATTTCCAACTACATCTTTTACTAGAGTCAAGTGAAGACTTCAAAAAGTCACATACAAGTACAATTTTAAACTGGATGAACATCTTGCAATTGTTAGTGCAAAGTAATAATGTAGATTTCTTCATTATGAAATTGTGCTGACGTTTTGCAGGTTTGTTAAAATTTACTCTTTTAACATTTGATACTCAGTTACAGAGGTTAACTTACTAACAATATAAATGCATTTGTGTCATATCCCACACACGGGAATGTCATGAGTTTTCATGACGTGTTGCTTAGATTTTCATTAATAAAGTAAACTTATTTGGTTTAACAGTCATGTTTCTTGCACACTAAACATTTAAATTTTATCGAGGTGCTTTTAAGCTTATGTTCCGATCTCATTTGGTCAAATTTAACACACAGCCTTTCACAATGTAAACTGTGATTGTTTCATGATTTTTGAAATGTAACTGATCTGAATTCAGTTGGGGTGGGGGTAAGGGAGGAGGGAGGGTGTAGAATCCACCACTAATCTCAGCTAGACAAACTGTTCTTGAAATTAAAAAAGCCTGTTCACACAAAATTATATGTAATGACTGTAGTAATCAGTTTATTACACAGATTAATCATTCTTGAACGTACAAGCTCCAGAGGAGCAATTGGGTCTTTAAATATACACAAGTATTTCTGTCCAATGAATTTTTACCCTTACATCCAGATAGACCTAAGCAGTTAAAAAACATAAGAAAAATTAAGAGCTATTAGCTATGTATTAACTGAGAAACCACATACAAACCAAAAAGTATTGGGGGGAAAGGGGGTGATGGAGAAGAGCTGGAAAAAAAAAACACCCATCACTTTATGTACTAATAGCTCCAATCCATTTAAATGTTGACCAGTTAAACTTAGACCTTAAAATACAGGATGTGGGTACAGTTTAATCTTGTTGGTCGAAACATTTACCTAAGATGTAGGTCCTTCAGAATAAAATGAATACAGAAACAGCTTGACGTTCTTCACCTTGCTTTTCATAACTGTTATGAGTTTAAAAGGATTCCGCTTTTTAAAAAATTCTCCCACAGGTCAGTGTAACTGTCCTCCCCCACCCCAAACCATACAACACCCACCCCTGCGCCCTTGCATTGTTTATCCAATTAAGTCAATAAGGAAAGCTTTTAGTCTCACAACTAGGTTATGACTGAAGAACTGGCTTTTCACACACACACTTCTTTGCTAGGAGTCAATGTTGGTACGGGAAATACAGTATTTCTATTTTGTTGTTCCAAGTATGTACAACACGCAGCACTGCTGTATCAGGTAAACATGTGCACAGGGGAAGATGAGGCGTGGGCTCATAGAAAGCAGTCAAATGGAAATCAAAAGGACTTTCTCTTTCAGAGTTCCCCTATCTTTATTTGTAGAGGTTATCCAATAATTTCTTTAATTACATCGCATACTTCTGAGTCCATTCCCGAGCTATTCTGTTGTACCTGTACATACAAAGAGAGGAATGGCTTAATAATACATGTCAACTTCAGTTACTTAGCAGACTTTAGGCACTATGTGGAAAGACTGAAAACTTTCTGCAGAAGGAGACACCTTTCCAGCCCAGTTATCTAATTTGTATTTATTTTTAAAAAACCCAAGGGGAAGATGAGTATTAGGCTGCAAAAGGGAAAACAATCCTCAAACTCTCTTCACTCCCTCCCCAAAAAAATAGAGAAATGCTATGTATTTCAAAACAAGACCACAGCACAAAGTACTCATAACTTGATCTGTAAAAAAAAAAAGTAAAGCATTTAAATAGAGGTATACACCAGTCTCTGCTCAAGTGCTAAGCTTATTCTATATTTATGGCTGGCCTTCTACTGCTAAGAAAAATCTTAAATTCGTTACCTCTGGCATACCTAAGACTGTACAATTTTCACAGGAGCCCTGTACATAAAGGCTTTTAATTTCTGCAATAGCTGCTTTTGGCAGAACTTAATCAACCTGGATAATGATATAGGTGACTTAATGTTCTAGAAAAAGTTACATTTAATTCAAATTGTCCAGTATCAAAAGATTTAAACAGAACAAATATTCTGTAAGTCTTCCATTAGAAAGGAGTGGAGCTGAAAATTCTTCTGCTAATTTGACCCACAATCACACAGAAAGGAAAAGAGGCAAAATTTGGTCCATTTTATTCCAAATACAGCCAAAAAACTGAATGATCCATATCAAACTATTTCAGGCCTAACCACTACTCAGCAATTTTACTATAAGATACAAGGACCACTGTTAGACCCTTAAAAAAAAAAAGGCCAAACTCATTAGTCTGAAACAAATTCTAAATCCTTAAAGGAGATCTTCCATATATCTGTTTAAAACATCACCAAGTTTTTGTCCATCATTGAGTTCTTCCCATTTTCTCAGTGAATATCTACAGTAAATATGTTAAAATGCTCTTCATGTTTTGATGCTAACAGATCTTAAATCTTCTGGGATTCTCATTGGAGAGTTCTAAAATGTTTTTGAATCCCAGAATGAAGATTTTACAAGGAAAAAAATCTTATCTTTGTGTTGCATTTATATACTTTCCCCACTAGATGCTGCCAATGGTGTTGATGGTTTCTTTATTCTCTTTGCTTTAGAACTTATATCAATTGAGTAGTCTATTCACAATGTATGAATTCTTGATGAAAAATATTTATATATTAAATCCCCACTTAGGTATGAAGTTCTAAGTAAATACAAAGGCTTTTTTATAAGGATGCATCAGACAACGACTATCTTTAAACTTTAGTTGAGGTCTAAAGCTGTATCTCCTTTATCTGACTTCCATACTTACTTTTCTCTATCTGTTTTGTAGATCCGTGCAATCTCAGGCACTAAAGGATCATCTGGATTGGGATCACACAACAGAGAACAGATGGACAAGAGTACTAGGAAGAGAACAAACAACAATTTTAGCAGGGTAATGAGAAAAGTCAAATGACACTTTCCCTGACTCCCGTCAGGGCTGTACTTATCAACTACTCTTACGAGATTGTTCTAAGGATTTCAAAAGATTTTCAGAGCTCTAATTTAAAAAGTAGTTAGCATTAAGCAATTAAAGCAAGTTTGGACAAACAGGACACATGTTACTGTAAAATAAAGGATACTGTTGAAAAGAATTTAAAAGTATACCTAAAAGGTCACTAAGCTATACACACCAAGTTGACCCAATGATACTACTACTTGGCAAATACTATAAGGGAAAGGTCTTTATACCTACAAAAATATTGTACCAGCACTTTTTGTTTCAGCAAAGAACTAGAAACAAAGTAAGTGCATTATCAGCTGATGAATGGCTAAAGAAATGACATGACTGTAATAGGATATTATTGTATAGTGGGAAAGAAAGAAAATAAAGGAGGAACCAGAGAAAAACCATCAGTAAACTAATACATAAAAAAATCTGAAAATATATGCACTATTCATACCCACTGACTTCTCACCTCTGCAAAGGTGGTTTCGTATCCCTTCTTTGAAGCCATGCTTCTTCTTTGTTATTTTGTAACATTCACTTCTAATTGTTCTGTGCTGATTGTTCCACCCCTCACTCCTCCACTTCCATAGTTAGTCATTATATAGGTTTTCATGGCTCTGCATATTTTACTCTTTATCAATTCTTCTAAGTCTTTCCATGATTCTTTGTACATGTTATTTCTTATAGCACAGAAATATTCCATTACATTAATGTATCACAACTTGTTTAACCATTTCCTAACCAATGGACATCTATTTTGTCTCTAGTTCTTTGCTAACTCAATAAGTGTTACTATAAACAGTTTGGCGTATGCGACATAGTCTATTCTTTTCATCAGTGAATTCCTCGGGGTATATGCCTAGTTAGTGGAAATCTTTGGGTAAAAGTCATATGGCCATTTTGGTGACTTTTTATGCATGGTTTTCCAAATGGTTTTCCAAAACAGTTGTGTACTAATTCATAGCTTCACTGCAATTCAGTAGCGTATCTATTTTCCCACAGCTCCTTTAACACTATTTTCATCTTTTGTCATCTTTGCTCAGTTAATGGGTGTGAGGTGAAAACTCAATGTTGGTTTGATTTGCATTTCTCTTACTAGTGATTTGAAGCATTCTTTCATGTAGTTGTTAATAGTCTGCAATTCTTTTGAGAAATTACTATTCATATCCCCAATATTTATTGGGAAATGAATGGCTGTTGGTTGGTCTTATCTATATTTGTTAGTTTATGTGTTAGTATGCTAACTTATATACTGGTTAGTGTATAAGTTGGATACTAAACCTTTATCTGAGAAATTAAAGGTATGATAACAGGCAAAGGGGAAAGAAAATGATCCCTATTTGCTGATGACATGATAGTTTACTTAGAAAATCTGGGGGAATGAGCAAAGAAATGACAGTATGAACAACAAAAGTGACGATGTTCAGGCATCATTCAGACTTGACCATTAATAACTACATAAGCTAACGAGACAGAAAGAACCAATAAATACTTTCAGATGGTACGGCCCTTTGAAGGGCTAGTCCTATTCTGAGTGATGCTTAAGGAGGTAGATTGGTGAGGGGAAAATCCTTATTTTCAAAGAAGAAAACAAAGAAAATTAAAATTCACTTTTTTTTTAAAGGCAGTTGGGGTTAAGTGACTTGCCCAGGGTCATAAAGTTGTCTTTTTGGCTAGAAACTATGCCCACATTTGAAACTTTAGGCTCAAGATTTTATTCAGGATATACATATACACACACACGCTATAATTTATATTAATTATTGCTTTAAAGCACAGAAACAATGTACAAATAATGTAATAAACTCTGACTCAGCTTTTAACTCAGACACCTTTTTTAGATTTTTATTTTGGTATGCATATTTTAGATTCCCAGACATCTCCCCCTTTCCAAAAACGAATCAAAAAAGTCACCGGGAACAAGGTCCTTTAACCATGCTTTTCTAGGTTCCTAGGTTTTAGGGCCAGGAAGGATGTTTGGGAACACCTAGTCCAATATAGTCATCTTATAGATAGAGAAACTGAGGCATGGAGAGATGAAATAATTTACTCAGATCATAGAGCCATAACAGGAATCTAGGTCCTTTAACTCCAACCCTAATCCTGTCTTCAACCTCCTTTACATCATAGGTCTTCCTTGAATAACACAAATGAAAAAATACCTATATTGATGACATATAGCACATAATCTCAATTCTCTTCCCCCTTGCACTTCTATGAAGACCAATGAACTCCAGTGAGCTCAATATTAAAATATAATTTATGTCTTGCTAATGTGATGTAACATAAGATGTTTTTAAGTAGGTTTATAAGGTACTGTTCTTACTTCATCTCATGCCACTACGAATTCCTGTTACTGCTCATGCATCAAACTTCTTGAAATTAGATTTTATTTTACTTTCAGTTTCAAATCAAATTCTCTCCCTCTTTTTTCCCTGTCCCCCACCTATTGAGAAGGCAAGAAAAACAAAACCCATTACAAATATGTAGAGTCATCATACACCAAACCTTAATGTTCTCTTTGTTCCTTAAGTTGAAAATTTTAATTCCTTAGCTTTTCTATCCCAACATTAATAGCATTAGCACAGTCTTTGAATAAATTTAGGCTTTTCCAAAAGCTCAGTTCTTATCCCACATACCTAGAAACATCAACTATACCATCAATATTTTTGGAAGTAGGTGACCTACTGCATTCTTTGAACAATAGATTACTTTTTGAATTTGATCAAATCCTTTCAGGCTGACAACTGTCAAGTCTAAGCTGCCTATTCATTACAAAAACATTTACTGAGCATCTACTATGTATTATACACAAGGTACTGGTAGGGAATACAAAGATGTTTTAAGATTCCACAGCATATTAAACATTAACACGTATGGCCATCATGTTGCTTTTAAAAGCTTGTTCTAAAGGCTTTTAGTCATATGGCAGTGATAAAATAATGATTGCTTACTAACTTAAGGAGACTACACTCAGAATAATTTTAAACAAGCTAACATGTCAAATACACAAAAAGTACAGAATTTCCCATTAACCAAAGTGTACTTAAAACATTTCTTTATAAGGGACATGAACAACCTCTACTATAATGTTGATATTTTCAGTGAGAATTTAGATTTCATCCTATGACACAAATGGAGAATAGACCACATTTACTAGAAAGTAACCTTCAATTCTAATTCTTTCTGTTCAAATGATTAGTGTTTCTAATTTTTGATGTTAGCGTAATTGTCTCCGATTTCTCTCTATTGCTTCTGTGTACTAGCAATGACACTGTACAAGATTTAGAGATGTTTATTTAGGATATCATCCCTCGTCACCTCAATTTAAACACTTTTATTGCACTGTCCTCCAATCTACTTTCTGCAACTCAAATTATTGCTTATTTTATTTTAAACTTTCCATCTGTTAAGATGAACACATTTCTAGAAATCTGGAAGTCAATGAATATCCACTGGAAGTAGATAGTGGGTTTCTGGGCAGGGGGATTGGGAATGACTGGAAATCCATACAACTTTAGCATCCTTTTACATGATATATAATTATACTGTCATCAATTTATAAAAATAAGAGAATCAGAGAAACAGTAAACTCTAGGGGAAAATGTTCTTAATCTGTTCATTTTTCCTTCAAATTCTTTTAGCCTTTATAACTCTAGTACTCTAATTGTAATCTTCCAAATAATAATAGCTATCATTCATACAGCACTTTTTTACAAAGTGCTTTACAAAATGTTAGCTAAGATACAGCCAGTCATTCCCATAAACTAAACCAGTATACTCACTATATGAACTAATTTCAGATACGTGCTATGAACTATCATAATGGTAACTCATTTTTCTTTTTATAAATCTATCATCAAATCAGTGTCTATTAGAGCTTCCAAGTATTCTTTCAACCACTTGGAAAAATTTTTTCATTTTTGTTACTTTCCTTACTGAGTTATAGTTAAATGATCTTTTTAATGTATCTTCTCCGTACCCTACTCCTCACTCTCCCTCTCAAAGTAATGGGTCATTAGGATATTATTTATTCAACTCTTCATTTAAGTGCTTTGACGTTCAGTAGGCTGCATACTTCATCAGGAAGATTCCTAATACTCATCCTTTTCATTAGCATCTGCACATGTAGTTTTTCTCAATTCCAACAGCACTCCAAATGGCTTTTCAAAATATTCTTCAACATACATATGCCTTGAAATTTGTGCCAATTTACTAAATAAAGAATGACTTTACAAAGGTGTTTGTACATTCTATTTAGCCAAGTGAGGCACGCTAAGAAAATGAAATTTCAAGAAAGCTGATACAATATTCCAAATGAAGTTACAAATACCACTGATTCAAAATAGTTTAATATCTTTTCACATTCTAGCTACCTTGAAAAACAGACTCCTAGACATGGCGGGAAACAAAAGCACAAACATTTTCTTGAATAGCACCTAAGACTTTTAAAAAAAGGTAACATTAGAAATAGCAGAAAAAGTAAAAATAGAGTTATGAACATGATTTATGGGTTCATAGAAATACCTCCTCTCTTTGTACCCAAACAGATCAGGGGAGTCATGGTTCTAACCTTAGTGAAAGTGTATTCAAAGATACAGTCATAAATACTATTCAAAGAGCCTTTGCATTATAAGAAGGCCCACAAAGAGGACAGGCCTTCTCTGAAGATAGAAGTTTAATTTGTAGTTATTAAAGGGTAAAAGACTTTTTTTAAGTTGACTGTTGGGGGGGGGAGAGAGGTGATTGCTAATGATTAGTCTTGTACAAGCCTAGCTTATGATGTTGATTAGAGGCCTGGAGGTTGAAAATCTATTTTCAGAAGATTGTATTATAATGGCATACAGCAAGAGTTGGCAAACAATGACTTGCAGGACAAATGGTTTTAATCATTCTTAGCTTGTGGACCATGCAAAAACAAGTGGGCTGGATTTGGCCCACAGGCTGTAGTTTGCCAACCCCCGGGTGTATGTTCTTATTCAGTTGTGTCAGATTCTTCACGACCCAGTTTGGGGTTTTCTTCACAAAGACATACTGGAGCGCCATGTCCTTCTCCAGCTCATTTTACAGATGAAGAAGCAGAAGCAAACAGGGTTAAGTGACTTGCCCAGGGTCACACAGCTGATAAATATACGAGGTCAGATTTGAACTCAAGTTGTCCTGACTCCAGACCTGGCCCTCTATCCACTGTGCCATCTAGCTGCAGCATCCCCACCCCCCATATAGATACAGTGTATAACAATATTCACATGTGGCAAGGGATGCCATAATTAATCTTTTCCTTTTCATCCCTTAGTTTCATCATTAAGTACAATGGAAAATAGTTGACCCACAAAGGGGGCCCTTTTATTCTCTTTTGCTATTACTTTTCTAGGACCTTTTTACATTTCTCAAACACAATTCTAAAAGGATTCAAGTCTAAGTCTCAAGTGGAAAGTTTAGTATTATTAATATGCTTGCAGAAAATTTCTGGTAAAGTTAACACTGAATAAAGACTCAAACAGAATATAATCATTGGTAGCCCTTCAGAGTATGCATTTTTATAATTTAAATGCTTCTTGTAATAACCTTTATTACATTACATTCTCCTATAAGGCCTTACTTAAATGAGGAGTGTGTGTGTGTGTGTGTGTGTGTGTGTGTGTGTGCATGCACATGCACATAAAACACAATGGATTTATCCTATTTTGGGCAGAAGGCAGAGGGGGGCTGGAACTATAATGGACATTCACAGCCCAATCCCACTACTGATCAGCATGGAAGCTTTGCCCCTTTCAATTTCTGACCTACGCCAACTCACCCATCCTTCAGTGGCCTGATGAATCCCCTCACCCTGGGGCTCACCACATTGGTGAATGATGATACCCAACTGACTTTAGCTCTGTTTCAGCTCATAACCCTAAGCTTGAGTGATCTACCAGCCTCAGTAGCAGAAACTATACCTGTATACCATCACATCCAGCTATCCCTCCATTCTTGAATAATATGTCCTATTACTAAATTTATGTGCTCCTGTACACAGTAACAGCAACACTATGCGATGACTAACTTTGATAGACTTAGCTCTTCTCAACAATGCAAAGATTTAAGACCATTCTAGAAGACTTAGGATGGAAAATGCTATCTACATCCAGAGAAAGAACTATGGAATCTGAATGTAGATCAAAGCATAGTATTTGCTCGCTCTCTCTCTCTGGTTTTTTCTTTCTCGTGGTTTTGCCATTGCTTCTCATTCTTCTTTACAACATGAGTAATGTGAAAATGGTTAATATGAACACATATGTAGAGCCAATATCAACTTGCATGCTGTCTTGGGGAGGCACAGAAAATTTAGAACTCGAAATCTTATGGAAGTGAATGTTGAAAACTAAAAAGATAAAATTCCTTCTACATATTAAAAAAAAGTTATGTGCTCAAGTTTGAAAACATTTTCAACTATCCCTGCCTATCAGGCATTCTTTGGTCTTTATAATAATGAATGCTTTAAAGCAGAGGCTTTTAACCTGGGGCTCATGAACTTGGGTGGGGAAAAAAAATTAAATCTTTATTTTCACTAACCTCTAACTGAAATTTTACATTTCCTTCTACAAACTACAGCAGTAGTAACAATATCTGTGACACTGTCACAAATAGGAATCATAGATATTTTCATATCATATTACAGTTGCTGTAGATCTTAAAATAATTTGCACTAAACACTACTTCAAAATTACTATAGTTCAGGGCAGCTAGGTGGCACAGTGAATAGAGCCCTGGCCTTGGAGTCAGGAAGACCTGAGTTCAAATCCAGCCTCAGACACGGAACATTTACTAGCTGTGTGACCCTGAGTAAGTCACTTAACCATGATCGCCTAACCCCTCCCCCCCCAAAAAGGAAAATTTCTATATTTCTAGGACCTGATACTAGATCACACATGATCAGACAGTATCTCAATGTAATTTGTTTCCTTCATAATCATATATACTTTATTCACTTAAAAGCATAATTCATAGGCTTCACTAGTTGCCAAAGGGGTCTAAAACACACAAAAAAGTTAAGAACTACTGCTTTAAAGGGATACTTGGTATCTCATGCGTGATTAGTTACTACTTACTCTCCAAGAGAGTATATAAACAGAAAATCATCAATTTTCTACAGACACATTTCACTGTTAAGCAACAAATTTATTTGTAATATCTATGTAATTACCTTTTGAAATAGTTAGTGCTGGTGACCACTGTGACCGTAGAATATCAAGACAAATGCTGCCATTACTGTTAATATTTGGATGGTAAATTCTTGTTGTAAATGCAACCTAAAAAAAGTTTCACATAAATTGGTTTACTGAAGTTATTAAAAAATGCATACAGGAAAGTAATTCATATAGTTTTGCCTACCTTAGGTGGTTTGAAGGGATAATCTGTTGGGAAATGAATTGTCAAGAAAAATACTCCACCCTGATAGGGACTATCATTCTGTTGGTGAAGAGAAAAAAGTTGTTATGATGAGTGATTTACACAGGCTATTCTACACTGAAATTAATCTGAATACTTACTGGCCCCATTATTGTAGCTTGCCAATGGAACACTGAAAGAGAACAAGAAATCATTAGGTATTACCCCAAATATCAACTACTATAACTTCTTCTCTAAACTTAGTTCATATTTGGTTATTACTCATCATTGAGAAGCTCAATGTACATTATAAATATCTGATATTGAAAGCAGGACAGAATGAATTTACTTTATGAATGAGAATTAGAAGCATGAGTCAAGTGAGAACCTAGAAAGAAACCTAATCTACCTGTCATTCTAAACTAATTAAAAATAATTATGATTGAAATACTTTGAAATCTGTCAAGATTTCACAGATTCAAGATTACACAGAATAAAAGCCTAAAATAATACCATTATCCTATAACGGGAGTCTTAGTAATACAGTGAAACTTCATTATGATTCTGGTAGCACTGGATAGGAGTAACAGGTCAATAAAGACAAGTAAAATTTCAATATGGCAATTATAATGAGATAAGAGGTATCAAGGTGAATCAGTGGTCACAGTCCTGAGCCTGAAATACAGAAAACCTAAGTTCAAATCCAGCCTGAGACACTTACTAGCTGTATGACCCTGGGCAAGTCACTTGATCTCTCTTTCCCTTAATCTACTGGAGAAGGAAATGACAAACCACTCCAGTATCTTTGCCAAGAAAAGTCCATGGACAATATGGTTCACAGGGTCACAAATACGAATGAACAAGATTCATAAGAACCTTAATCTTAACGTGTAAAGCAAGGCTTCTTAACCCTAGCGTCTGTGAACAATGATGTTTTGATAGAAACATTTCATTATAACTAGCTTCCTTTGTAATCCTACGTATTTTAATCTATGTATTTAAAAATATTATTCTGAGAAGTAGTTCACAAGGTTTCAAACTATCAAAGAAGTCCACATCATAATAAAGGTTAAGAAACCTTGATCTAGAGCTATCTGCACCTCAAAAAAGATAAACTGCAAAGTTTTGCTGAAAGTTAGGGCTTGTTCATAAGCTTTGATGGACCATAGAGATTAGAAGCTATTTTTCAAGAAAAACTAACTTTTTTCAAAAAGAAACCTAAGACAAAATATTTTCCAAAAAATAATACAGTCCTTGAAAGAGAGAGAATGTGTGTGTGTGTGTGTGTCTATCAGTGTTAGCAAGTAAACATAGTATTGCAATATAAATTACGAAGGTCTACCTACAAGCCATTTCAAATTCAGCCTAGAGTCTGCAGACTATGCAGAGATAACAAGTGCTTTCATAGCCAACATTTTAGCTGATACAGCTAGGAAAGGCACAGGGCTCTACACAGATAACCTAACAGTAAGCAACACAGCTCTCCTACCTTAGCCCAACAGCCATCTAATTACAGCCTAAGTCAGAAGGTGGTTAAATACCATGAATAGTACCAAAAACCACATATTATAGGTGTCCAGGGGAAGGAGAGATCATTTTAAATTAAGTGATTAAAAATTCTAGAGGCCTACATGATATGATTATTTGAGCATCAAAACAAAAACAAAAACAAAAACCACCTCCTCAAGGGTAAAAAAAATATTAAATAATTTAGAAGTCAGAATAATCCACATAATGAAGTTTTAAAAAACATTTTTATTCTATTTGAAAGAGACTCCTCCAAAGACTGTATTTGGTTCCCCACCTCTGGTCTAACTAAAACATTGATTTAAAATTTAAAAACCAAAAAGCAAAACTAAAACAAAAATAACTTGGCTGAGAGCCAGGTACTAAAAATACAGGTTTTTTTAAAGTTGTTACAACCATTCAATCTTCTGATAGTTGTCTTTTGTCATGCTGGTTCAACAATAGAACTTAAAGAAACAAGACACATTTGAGTCAATGACCTTAAGCAGACAAAAGACTTTCATCTTTAAGTTTCTTGAAGCAATTTCTTTGACCAAGGGCAGGTTATTAATGGTAAGGAATGAGTTGTACCTCAAACTAGAATCCTCCTCTCACATTATGTAGCTCTATAAACAGCTCAGAAAGTTCCACTAAAATATCTACCATCAAAGCTGGTAGCTATATAAGCTTAAGCCAGCGCTATTAGTTGATAAAAATTCCAACCTCACTAAAATCAGCTATTAGAAGTGGTCTAAGAGAGTGTTTAAAAAAAAAAAAAGACAGACTATATCCTAAGTGGCTAACTTCTCTTATACTTTTGGTGCTAAGAGAAACTACCACTTTTACTTATTATCAAATCAAATCCAAAATTGACAAAAGTAGTTTGGTTCACAAATTAAAGTCAATTAGGAAGTTCAACGATTAATCTGGATGACATACTGAATTTTAGAAGGATACTAAATATGCCAAAGATAGTATGTGTTAATGTTTGAGAGTCAATCTCAGGAGATGTTTATTTCAATGAAGACATCTCTGGAGACCAGTACTCAAACAAGAGTGAAAAAAAGAAACAAAAAAGAAAATTAAGTAGCTTAAGCGATCAACAAGTCCTCAGCTTTTTTTTCTCCCAAAAAGTATGTTTCTTCCTGCCTGTTAAATCTTTGCAGAATAGTTTAAAAAAAATTATACAACAATGTTAAAAAGTCAATATGGAGTCACAAGTAACATCTCCCATTCATAAGATACAGAAGCTATGGGAAGTAGTTTAGTATAGTGGATGAGGATATTTTGAGTCAGCAGTACTCAATTTAAGTCCAGATTTTGCCACTTAATAGTTGTGTGATCTTGGACATGTCACAGAACCTCAATTTCTTCATCTGTAAAATGGAGTAACTAGTCCTTATACTATATCCCATAGGGCTCTGGCGAGGCTCAATGTGATAATACACGTAAAACTCTATGTAGCATAAGCCTTAGAGCCAAGACAATTCTTTTTTTTAAACTTTTTTTTTTTTGGCTAGGCAATGGGGTTAAGTGACTTGCCCAGGGTCAGTCAGCTAATAAGTGTTATGTGTCTGAGGCCGGATTTGAACTCAGGTCCTCCTGAATCCAGGGCCGGTGCTCCATCCACCGTGCCACCTAAGCTGCCCCAGAGCCAAGACAATTCTTAAGAATGAGTTTAGTCCTAACAGAATGCCTCTGGTTCTAACTAAATTAAGAACAATAAATCTGAGTTTTTAGTATTTTAGACCTTGCTACTTAATCATAACATACTTTTTTCCTCATTCTGGTTCTTTTCTAGAATTTTAGGACCTGATACAAACCTTTTGCTATAACTCCCTAGTTCTCTCTCTGTTCTTTACAATGGACCTTTTTTAGAGTAAAAATCCTACAACTATGGGTGCAGCTAGATAGCACAGTGGATAGAGCACTGGCCCTGGATTCAGGAGGACCCTAGTTCAAATCCGGCCTCAGACACATAACACTTACTAGCTGTGTGACCCTGGGCAAGTCACTTAACCCCATTGCCTAGTCAAAAAACAAACAAACAAAAATCCTACAACTAATAAAGCTTACAAGGAACATCTAGTTCAACAAAATGGGAGAATATTCTAAGTGATGAGACTTAGTTCTTCTCTTTGGGCATCTATATGTTAGATATTTATATAGCACCTATGCTATCAAAATATGATGAAATACAAGGCATTTTATTTTACCTAGGAAGAGTTTTCTAGGCAACAATGATTTTTTCTGCTTGGGTACAGGAATATGATTGTGCCAATAATCCTGGTTAACTGCAAAAGCAAATTTCTTTAGATATGAAAAAACACTTGTTTGATAACTCAAGAGAGCAGAATATCTGCTCCCAAAGACCTTGTTATGGTGGAACTTTTCAATCGATTTCTCAGCTTTGAGAATTCTGGGTGAAAATCCTGCTGAAAGGAAAAATTACGTTTACATGGACAATATGAAGGAGACAGTTTGTCTCTAAGAAGCATATCACTATCTGTTGTTTTTTTTTTTAAATCCTAAATACTTAATGGGATGGGCCAGAACAAGGGGGAAACACTAAGATTTTTTTCATCATTTAGTTTTAAGTTTATCATTTTTATATGTACACAATTAATATACCCACACCCTTTCCCTTCAACCATAAAGGAATCTTCTTAAAGACTTCCCCTTTGGTTCTTAGTGCACTACAAAACCTTGAGTTCACCCATACACACAGCCTTAGAAAAAAATCACAAAACCTTAATAAGATACTCTAATCCTGCACTTATCATCACAACCCAGGTGGGGGGAAAACGTTATCTCGCACCAATGCTTTTAAAAAGTTAATTCTACTTTAAAATCTCAGCTTTCTGTGAGTCATTATAGGCATGAACATATTCTCAAGGATTTCAAATTGAGAATTATTATCTGAAATATTCCTTTAAAAAAACTGGCTAGGCAACTGGATGACAAAAGGAAATGCCACACCAAAATAGAGACAATATAATTTATAACTAGCTATTAACAGTAGTGCTAAGTCCATGCAGTGAGTTCTTTTAAGTAGTGACAGTATCTTGAACTCTCAAACTATTGACACTGACTAAATACTAAATATTCTTAAGCACATTTCAACACGAAAACACACAAAACACTTTCAAGTCTCTTCATGTGCTTTTTAAGGAAGACAACTTAGGGGCAGCTAGGTAGCGCAGTGGACAGAGCACTGGCCCTGAAGTCAGGAGGACCTGAGTTCAAATCTAGCCTCAGATCAACCACTTGACACTTACTAGTTGTGTGACCCCTGGGCAAGTCACTTAACCCCAACTGCCTAAAAATTTAAAAAAATTTAAAAAAAAAATAAGGAAGACAACTTGCTGTTTTGAGCTGAAGTCAAGACCTTATGTTGGAAATATCCTTGCCACCCTCCCCCAAAAACAGTAGGGTAGGAAACAGGCTGCTTATACAAAGTGGATAAATGTCTAATGGAAGGAGTTCATAGTAGTCATGGGATAAACATATTAAGAGTTTCAGCCAGCTTCTAACTGTACCCTTCTGGCTACCAAAAGTAAGCTTCTGAAGGCAAGTTAAATTATACCTAGTGCAACTACTTAAAAAAAAAGAAAGGTAACTTAAGAAAAACGCATATTATTTGCTCTATTATCTTACAGCATATGCTCTCATAAAGAAGACTCCTCTCTGGGTTCTATATAGCACTTTGAACTACACAGATTCTGAATGATTTCATTAAGTACTTACTGTCATCTCCAACAGGACCTGCTGAACACTGAGCTGGGGGGTCACGTGCCAGGTCATTCAACTCCTTAAAAAAAAGAGGAGAGTTTTAATCGATAGGAGGATACTGAAATCCCATCATTTTCAGAGTTATACTTTTTACAGGATTACCCAGTCTCTTTGCCCTATTTCTCCACTGGCCTCTTCCCAGGGGCCACCCTAAAAAATCCTGATGACAAGGTAGTATTAACTTCAGATGAGTCTTCAGAATTACATTACATTAAAGTTGGTATTCTTGTTCAGGAGCTACAAGTATCTTCTCCCCTACCCTCCCTTTCTCCCATTCAACTACTTTTCTGGTCAAGAATGAAACATTCAGATTTTAGTAGGTAAATGCTGTTAAAATAAAGATACAGAAAACTTCCGGAGCTCCCTCCTAATAATAATGTTCTATTATTATTAATATTAATGTCCTATTATTATGTAGCAAAGGCAAACAGTTTTCAAATTGGAATCGGAACTTTTGTTTCTTTTTAAGGTCCGAAATTATCTGCTTCTAATAACTAAAACAAAAGTGTTTTGCTTAGTTATTTATGCTTTCTATATCTGCACCGGTATCACTAATGTATTAGAAGAATATATAAAATAAGGTGACCCAGGAACTTGGGTCTCAAGTAGTTCTAAAATGTAAGATATAAATCCAGGTGTAGTAGTATGTTTTATGCCTCAACCCTCAGACACTTCTAGTTTTCAGTGTTGGTCTTTCCATACATCTCAAGGAATCGAACAGGGGAAAATGGTGGGGTTTGGAAGAAGGAAGTCATATAACTCCTTAATTCTTCTACCACAGATGTTTTCTATAAAAAACTTCACACTATCACCAAAGCATGCATTTCTTTTATATATTGCAGTAATGTTTCTAGTTAAATACAGGATTTTAGAAAATTTTTATTTTTAAAATCTTGAACTAAAACAAAAAATAAAATGAGCTTTAATAGGAATTTAGCAAGCTTTTTTTTTTTGCAAACCTATCAAGTATATGGATTTAAGCTGTAATTCTTTCAACTTTTACTTTATTGAAAACATGAGTTAACATTTTTACATTATGGTGACATCAAGGAATAAAATCCAGAAGCATTATTATTTTTATTTGTGCGACAGATTTGTCTAAGCCACCCATATTTGACTAGTGTCCATTTAGTAAGAGCCAACTATAAAATGTGCCTACTTTAAAGGAAAAAAAAATGTTAAGCCAGACATATGTTCCATTAATACAAGTTTAGAGTCCAAATCATAGGAAATAAAAGTTATTCAAAATAGCCAAAGGCAATATGGGTGCAGTGGAAAGAGTGCTAATTCTTGGGAGTCAAAAGACCTGGGTTCATGTTTGGCTGGGTTAACTGTAAAACCTTGGACAAGTCAAAGAACCTCATCTGTAAAACGTGAGGGTTGGTAAAGTACCTCAGGAGTGGCACTGTCAAATTCAAATAAAAATGGGGGCCACTAACTCATACATTAAGGATCCTTTTAAGCCAAATGTTAACAAGTTTTAAAATGTAAAAATTATTTATGTTTATTATATTTATTAAATATTTCCCAATTATATTTTAATCTGGCTCAGGCTGCATCTGGGAAAATTAGTGACCATGCCACATGTTTGACATGTCTGTCTTAGAGCTCTAAATCTATGACCTTTCAAAAAATATGTATTGAGTACAACAGGAAACAAACACAAAGTCCCAGCCCTCAGCTTACAATTCAGAAGGGAGAAAGGGCAAGTATATAATCAACTGATATATTACAAAGCAAAATATGGTAACCTCCACAAGAAGCATTTTATAAAATGCTAGAAAGATCCAAAGGAGGAGGGAGAGGGAGAGAGGGAGAGGGAGAGGGAGAGAGAGAGAGAGAGAGAGAGAGAGAGAGAGAGAGAGAGAGAGAGAGAGAGAGAGAGAGAGAGAGACTGACTTATTTTAAACAGAGCTTGGGAGGATGAATAGCATCTTCAGTGTGGAAGGAAAGGAGAACTTTCCTGGCAAAGGCACAAAGGTCTCTTATGTGTGTTTATTCCTGTACAGTCTTCCAGTTTCTCAAGAGGGTTCTAGAATACAACCCTCTCCTACAGCCAGCCACTGACTAGCTTAATCAACAATCTCAAGAAGTCACTAAGAATACATATGCAATAAGCAAAGAATCTTTAAATATCTGTCCCTACCCAGCTTGTCTGCCATGGCTCCCCAAAGTTATTCAAGCCTTTCCATTCTCTTCTAGCTAGCAGCAAGCAGCTGAAAACAGCCTATCAACAGTGGCTGTGAAATTAGCACTCTCCTTACAAGATTACAAATAACTGAAGCTGGGCAGAGATCAGGATGGTAAAGGACAGCTACAGATAAAACCTCCTACCAACAGTCCTAATATATTTGTTACCAAATTCTATTTCTTTCCTTCAATATTTCTTCTCTTAGATCTCAGACCTAATCACAGAAAACAGAAAGAAGGTGAAGGGGAGAACCATAGACAAACAAGGCATAGAAAAGCTAACTATACTTTTTTTTAAAAAGTTGAGAATACTAACAATAATCTAATACAGAAGCCTCAATTCAACAGATATTTATTTAAGACCTGCTATGTACACAGCACTGTGCTAAATATCATAGACTAATATTTGTTTTAAAGGTAGGTTATTCCTACTCTCAAGGAGATTGTAATCATTTAGATGAGATAATATACACACTTTGTTGTTCAGTAGCGTCCAACTCTTCGTGACCCCCAGGGACCATAGCACACCAGCCAAATTTTAATACTGTCCATGGGGTTTTCTTGGCAAAGATACTGCAGTGGTTTGCCATTTCCTTCTCCAGTGGATCACCTTTTGTCAGAACTCTCCACTAGGACCTGGCCATCTTGAGTAATCTTTTATAGCATAGCTCATAGTTTCATTGAGCTACGCAAGCCCCTCCGCCACGACAAGGCAGTGATCCAGGAGGGGAATACGCATACTATCAGACCATAAATTATATTAAAGTTGTAACTAATCTTATTTGAACACTGAACCTCCCCCAAAACTTAATACAGTAGATGCCAAATGTGTTTGTTGAATGTACATACATAAAGAGTTTAAAAATCCCAAAGTTATATACCAGCAAAAGACAAGACAAAATATATATTACGATAAGGGATTTACAAGAGTCATGCCCAGGTACAAATACAAATGCTATAAGAGTTAAAGGTCCAATCACTGTGGATTGAGAGTAGTCAGGAAACCTTCATGGTACAGTAGAAAAAGCACTTCCTCTGCAATTAGAAGATGGAGGTTCAAACCTTATCTTTGATGCTTACTCTGAAGTGACACTGGGGCAAGTCACTTAACATCCTGGGACCCCAGTTTCCTCATCAGCAAAATGAAAAGGTTGGACAAGATAGTCTCTGAGACTCATTAGATAAGGAGAAATGCAGAGAACAAAACCATAAGAAAGAATGCACTGTGAATTCAAGGGGAAGCAAGATGTCTGTGGAAGAAAATCTCTGAAGGTCAAGAGTAGTACTATAGTTGGAAAGATAAACTGCAGTAAGAATACTGGGCTAAAGATTATGGACTTTATCCTTATGTTAGGACTCAAGAGAAAGTGGGGGTTATTCATGTAGTAGTAGTAGTAGTAGTAGTAGTAGTAGTAGTAGTAGTAGTAGTAGTAGTAATAGTAGTAGTAGTGGTAGTGGTGGTGGTGGTGGTGGTGGTGGTGGTGGCAGCAGTAGAAACAGTGAGAGTAGAAGAATTTTCCATTTGGAGAGAGATTCAGAGGGCCTAAGATTATCCTTTATGAAAACTGCAGCAGACAGTAAAACCTAACAGGTATGCTAACTTTTATACATTCTATAAAACTGTCAACTACATCCAGATGAAAAAGTAGTCTTGATTTAAATATAGATTACAGCACTAAAATGAGATGAGGGAGGGGGGAGAAGATAAATAGGTACACAAAAATTACTTGTATAAAAATTTTATAGCAGATTTGCTTTTAATAAAGAAGTCTTAAACATTTTTATGATTACTGCTTTCTTTATTTTGTCACTTACATTCTTTTATCATGAGTATAATTATACACTGAATTCAAGTTTTGTCAAAGACAGATATTGAGAGTTAAAAAAAAAAAACCAACAAAAACGGTGGCCTATATTCAGACCAATATAATAACAGAAAAAAGTAGAAAAAGTAATCAGAATAAAATTATTCTTAAAGCTAATAAAATCTACTAATACTGGTAATGACCTAACTAGAACACTAAAACATGTTAATACATTACATTCTCTTAAAAGTTTGTGGTTTTAACTAAATTCATATTCACAAGGTAATTTTTTCTTCTTTTCTGCTCCAGTTAAAATTGACCTGTATTCAGATTTGTATCATAGACATGGGTCAAAACATGTTAAGGTAAGGCCAAATCCAAAATCCAGGTTTTTCTTCTTTCCCATAAACAACTGTTTCCCACTGAAAAGCATAAATACCTAATAAAATGTACAATACCCAAATTAGCAAACTTTTTAAAGTTCAAAAATGTTTTATTTATGCTTTTTAAATATCCATCATTATCCACTAGTCCATTCTCCCTCACTGGATGCATATCATTTTGTACCTCTTTTCCACCACTAAATTAAGGAGGTTACTATTTGAAAGAGGTTAAAACAAAGTTATTTGATATGACTGAAAATCCACAAAATTCTAAAAAAATAAAATAAAATAAAATAAAATAAAATAAATCCTATCCACAGTACATCTTACTATAAAGCTAAGAGATATGAAAGATAAATTCCTCTGGAAAAACCTGCAACTTCTTCAAGTGCACTAAGTTACTATCCAGCTTTCTCTATAAGGTATTTCTATATTTGGAGGTATAGTATACTTTCAGAATATAAGGCAGAGTTGCAAAGATATAATTTCTTTGGATTTTAAGGGCCATAAACAATTTTCATAGCTTCTAAATTTCATATGCTTACTTCTACAAATTTTATTTGTACCTAAACTGACAACAATGTAATTTCCTTTTTACATATTATTTTACATATTACACTGATCTTCATGAAAGTAATAAA